GCTGTGGAGGGATGGAGAAGAATCAGGGAGCAGCAGCAGCAGCAGCAGAAGAAGAAGTCTCCTCTCTCTCACCCATGATGCTGATGACGTCCCCAATACTGACCAGCGAAGATGGTGGCCCCTCTGATGCAGGCCGCTGGAGTGCCCTCCAGCTATGGTGCCCATGTAGGACTCCACCTCTCTCTCTCACGCGGAGAAGGCTCACCGGCCTCCACGCCCCTACTACCTCCTCCCACTCCTCTAATGCTGATCTAGTGCAGCTCAACTCCAACTGGTGCTGCTCTCCAGCAGCATGTCACTCAAGTGATGCTCCAGTCAGAATCTCCCCAAACTGGAGGACTGGCCCAGCTATATACCGCTGGGCCTGGTTGGACTCTCCATGGTCTGCGATCAGGACCGTCTGATCTATCATCCGATCGATGGTCCTAATCGCAGGTCCAAGTCCTGGTCCTGCATCCATGGCCTAAAACGGTGTGCCTGGGTCCCTTCCGGACGTCCAGGCGGACCTGCTGATGCAGCTGGGCAGTCCAGAATGGACGAGGACTGGGCCAGGCACAAACAGAAAAGTGCCTGGTCCAGTCCCAGATAAGAACAAACCTGAACCTGGCCTACCACGGCCAAAACTGGAATCCACTGGTACGAATAGACACCTGCCTGTTCGGGCAAAAGAAAAGTCCAAAACGACATATCTGGAACAGACAAAAATGGACCTCAGGCCCAAACTTAATCACTTGACGGGCATTCTAGTTCCTTGGATTCAAACACTTGACGGGTTTTCTAGTTCTTTTTTGCTCTGACATTTATTTTTTCCTTACTCTACACTGCTGCTGGACTCGAACACCGAACCTCTTTTCCGCTATTATCTTTTTACTCTGCTGGACTCGAACACTGAACCTCTCCTTTTCTGCTAATTTCTTCCCATTTTTCTGCTTTTCAGCTTTTTTTCTCTGTTTTTTCTGCTCGTCTATTTTTTCTTTGGGACTATGTAGGGTCCAGGCTGATGGACTCAATCACGGTACCTGATCTACAGATGCTGAAGTAGCTGCAACTTAGTTCCAGTGTTGTAGTTAGCGTGTTGTCGTTTGAAACTTGGGACTTTTCGAGTTGACGGGATTATGGACGCGATAGACCTGGCTGTTTTGACGACTGAAAGCTGAGGATATAAGCAGTTAATGCTAGTGTTTTAGTCATCTTGCGCTACGTAGTTTCACGACCCCTGAAAACGCCGGACAGGCGACCGGCAGAAACACAGTGTCGGGTCTTTCGCCTGACATGCGTTTGCGCTTCATGTTCCTATCTTTAAACGCAGTTACCTGCGCTCGTTACTCTCTCTCCATGTGTGGTGTGCTCTGTATACTGCTTTGTGTGGTGTGCTTGGTATGCTACTCAAATGTGATAGAACACTTAGGTGTTTGTCCACTATGACTGATGCTTGCAACATCAGTCCACGCACCAACCAACATAGCAATTGTACTACGGCTGTGTGATTGCTTCTTACACCATCTCATGCTTATCTTCTACTTATTTACCTTCCATTTCTTTCTTTCTTTCTTTCCTTACTACTGTTTTAGTTCTATTTCGGGTATTTTCTGGGGATTATACGTTTTTCTCTTCTGCTTTGTGTTTTAGTCTTCTCCTTCTATCTCTCTGATGGATCCTAGAGTATGTCATTACTGTCGGAGGACGGGACACTTCATCAGGGAGTGCCGGACGCGTATGCGGGACATGGAGCAGCCGGCTAATCAGTCGAACCGGTCGAACCAGGCATCCTTGTCAAATTCCGCTCCGATCCTGCCAGCGCCAGGAGCTATTGTTCCCTACCAAGCGCCGTCGAACGATGTGAGGAACGACCAAGGTGCGAGCGGATACAATGGAGGTTACAATGGCGACTACAATGGAAGTTACAACAACGGCGGATATAGTGGTGGATACAATACCGGGTATCGAAGATCGTGGAATCCCGATCAGAGAGACCGGAACGACAAAGCTGAGAAGATGTGGACGTGGATGTCTAGGGATATGGAGGACCGTGAAAGAATCAGAAAAGAGAAAGAGGAAGCTGCGAAGAAAGAGGAGGAGGCAGCAAAAGAACGGGAGGCCGAGGAGAGAAAGCTGAAAGAGGCTAAGGAGAAAGAGGATTTCAAGGCGAGTATTGGTCAAATGGTGGGGAGCCAGATGAAACTTGTGTGCGAAGAAGTTCTGGGAAAGAGGATAGGAGAAGGTGAAAGGTTACTACCGACTACTATCGATGAAGTGCGTAGAAGAGTGGAAGCTGAAGGACGGAAAGATCAGGCGTTTGAAGAGTGTCGGAAGAAAGATGAAGAAATTCTGAAATTGAAGCATACGATGGCGGATCTCGAACGCAAGGCATGCATGACTGGAGATGCCGAGCAAGAGCTGCAAGCGTTAAGATCTGATAACCAGCACTTGATTCAGGACGTGATGTATTTGAAAGAACAGGTTGAAGAACTGAAGAAAGGGGTGAAGAAGTCGAGTGCAGTGGAGAAGACCGCACGCCAGGAGAAAGAGAAAGAGAAGGGAGCAAGCGTGCCTACACCTGGAGATTATGTTAAACTGGCGGATGCGTACCGGAGACTGAGGGATGATAAAGATATGGCCGAAAGGGAGGTTCAAGCACTCAAGGAAAGGATTGGACGAATTAACGTTGTGTCAACTCCTACTCCTACCAGTATTAAGAGGAAACGAATCGCCATGAAGAGTGGCTCGCCATCGAACTTGAGGATCAGGCTAAGCAAAGTGGCTAGCCCATGCAAATCCAACGAGACGAACGACAATGCGAATGGACACTGCGTCAAATTCGTGAAATTGAAAAACGAAGATCGAGAAGGGTTTCGCAGGCGAGTATGCGGAGAACTGTCCAAAATGAAGAAGCGAGAGATTGAAGGATTGTGCGAGGAAGAGAAGATCACGTACGTTACGATCAAAGCTTCTGCGGAAGAAATTGCGGCTATCTACACCGAACGAGCGTTCGGTAAACGGGAAAGCAAACGAACCATCGGTGATGACGATGGAAAGGAAGACGATATTTCGGAAGGGTCGAAGGATCTCACTGGGGAAAATGACCGCGAAGTGGAGGAAGACGCTTCCACGGAAGGATGCTAAGGTTGGCTACCGAGCGTTGGTGAGCTTTCTAACCTCACTCTTGCGTGCAGAGAGGCACGTAAGATTGGTAGACTACAGAAGGATGGTAAGATAGATAATCTGTTTCGATTGATAGTTGTGTTGCTAATCCTCTCTCGGCAGATTACATGGTGTGACAAGTTTATTCCGTTTCTCCGCTATTTATTTTCTATCAACTACGACTTCGTTTCTTGCCCGGGTCCGTTGGTATATGTTTTGGTTTCTCCTTGGTGTAAACATATATATGTAGGATGCACTAGCAGACCGATTAGATTTCGGTGGAAAGAGCACTTGGATAGAACTAATGCTCCGCTAAATCAATGCACTAGGAATCATAGACTATATAGGTGGCTTCGACATCACCATGCAGCAGGCTACGTGGCTGTACCAATTGCTTTTATTGAGAGTGAACAGCTTCTTCGAACTGAATCGTACTTTATTCGACTGTTTAATCCTTTTTCTAAACTCGATTCCCTCTTACGGAAGACGACGAGAGAGAAGGAAAAAACGACCTGGTAAACGGGAGCGGAGGAAAAGGCAAGGGGAGAGACATGACGATGGAGGGAATGATTTCTGTAATGTTAAATCTCCTATTATCTTTACGTCTGCGACAGGAGCTACCTCTACTAGTCTTTTTGAGATTCTTGAGTCTTGTTTTCGTGGTCATATCGAGACTGTAGCTGTAAAATGTGGGGGAGGTAATGTGCTAATTGACAAGTGGAAGGTACTAAAGAGATGTTATGGTTCATCTGTTGTTAAGACTGAGAGTGGCACTGAGATTCTACGACACTGTAGAGGGAAGCTGGTAGCCGGAGTAAATCTGGTTTTTGAAAAGATATCAAGATATTGCTCCAGGTTTGAGAAACAAAAAGGGGAACTGATTGGTATCCTGAATAACCCTTCGAAGTGCAAGAAGCTCTACCATGAGTCGCTGGATAGGCTCATACAGTTGTATAACTGCGTTAGGTGCTTTTCAAAAAAGGAAAGTCGTGCCACATTAAGAGCGAAGATAGCTCGAGTTGCTAAGAGTAAATTTTCGGTTAAGCTTAGGATTAGAGTTACTGTTAGAATTCCATTTTATGTGGCGTTGTCTAAAAAGAAAGTCAGAGATCTGTGTGTGTCAATTGTTAGGCAATCGTCTATTAGGCCATCATTGCAGCAGATTATTTGCCGAAAATCGCGAATCGTTTGGACCAAGAATAAGTCCGTCGGCGACATTCTGAATAATTTTCGTAGTTTTGCTCAGGAGATTGATTTGACCTGTACTTGTGTAGGGGCTGATTTACCCAGATGCGGTGAACATGTGTCATTCAGATTCAGTGAGGTTGATTGGATTGGAAGTATTCTGAAAAATAACAAGAATATTCCTTACCCTGGGTTTTGTCGGAATGTGAAACAGTTGAGGAACATTATTTTCGATAGCCTCGGTAGTATTCAAGATGACACTAGCATTTTTTCGGTGTCTGATAAGGCATTACGTGGATGTTTCAATAAGAACTGTAAATCTGATTCTATCGGATATAGAGGGGAGCTAAGTGATGTCTTGGAAATTAAGAAGAAGTTGAATGGACTGGTAATCTGCCCTATTGATCATAATATAGGTGACTCTTTCGTATGCTGTCCAGTCGTTTTCAAGAAGGGGATGGAAACTTTGTTTACAAGAAACAAAGGATTTGATTTAGTTGATAAAACTGAAGAGGTAGTGGTTCACGGAATTAGGGAGGAATATCTGAAATTGGGCCTTGAGAAGTACGCCACCTTTAATACGCAAGGTCGGCTTGGTAGAAGCTATTCAATTCCTAAACACAAAGACGTCGCCAAGTGGCATCCTATCTGCCCCTCCTTCTCCGATCCACTGGTATGAGTGAGCAGAGTCGTGTTTAAAGTTGTTAACAAACTGTTGTGGAACCTTCCTGAAGAGAACCATTTTAATCTTAGGTGTCCTAGTGAGATGATTAATAGATTAGACGTCTTCAACAGTAGTATTCGGGATGATGAAGATATTGTTGCCTCTAGTTTTGATGTGAAGGAGATGTTCACTGCCCTTCCGCACCATTCCATTATTAGAGCAGTTGAGTGGCTTATTCGTATGACTGAGGAAAAAGGTTTTGGAGATATTTTTGTTAAGAAAAGAGGAAAAGGTGCCATACTAGGCAAACGCAAGAATGTGCCTGTAGGTTATACTAGACTGAAATTCTCCGTACTTCTGACAATGGTAATCTTTCATCTCCGCAATACGTTCTTGACGACTATGGGAGTGGTTCTCAAGCAACGAATTGGTATTCCGATGGGGAAACCGTTCAGCCCTGCCTTGGCATGCTTACTTTGTGCGTTTAATAATGAATCTGTCTTTTTGAAACATTTGGGGATCGAATGCCGACTGCTGTTTGGTATGAGACTGGTAGATGATGTCTCTGTCTTCTCCAAGTTTAGACGAGGCTCGAGTTATGACAAAGCCATTGCGGAGAATAGGTTGAAGAAGTTTATTCTTTTTATTTATTTATTTATTTATTATTATTATTTTTTTTTGAACCGGCTGTCGGTGCTAGCGGTGCTGGTACGAGCAGACACCGGTAGCACCTGGGGGGGGGCTCCATCTATTGGTGGGGAGCAGCACCTGTTGGAAACCGGGTCCAGCGTCCCTTACATATACCAGGTTCAGCTCACATATTTGACAATATGCTCCTGCCAGCACTGATTACCTTGAGAGTTCAGGGGATTGACTGAGCAGGAGGTCGGGCGGGGGGGCCTCTTCACCCTACAATTGGCGCCAGATATTTGCACTTTCATCCTGGCTCCCCCACTTCCAGTTCTGAAAGGGTTTCCTGGGGCTGAGCACCTTGATCCTCCCGGGGTTTAAATCGTGTTATGATGAGAAACTGGTCCTGGAATTGACAAGTGATGGTGACACCTGGGATTTTCTAGGATGTGTTATCAAAGTGTTCCATCATCCTTGTAGAGTGCTATGTGCGGCGACTCACAAGAACGAAAGATGTATTATACACCAAGGGATTCTGTTTCAAAGTTTGCAAGACTTTGTTTCCTACTCTGATAAACATCAGAAGATGTCTGTTATAACTACATGTTTGCATAGAGCAAAGGCGCTCTCTACAATGCCAGGCCTGGACGTCTGCTTTCTCTTTACCTTGAAGATGGAGTTACGAGCAAGAGAATTCCCGGATCGATACTTTGATGACTGTCTGAAGAATTTTTCCAGGAGGATGAATGATTGCTGGAAACGATGGGTGTTGTGCTTCACCGACTGGAGGTGGTAGTAATGTTGTTTATTCCCTTCACTGCTGGCAGGCTATTTTTCATTTTTCATTCCTTTTCCTTCTTTTGTTTCACTTGACGGGCATTCTAGTTCCTTGGATTCGAACACTTGATGGGTTTTCTAGTTCTTTTTTGCTCTGACATTTATTTTTTCCTTACTCTACACTGCTGCTGGACTCGAACACCTAACCTCTTTTCCGCTATTATCTTTTTACTCTGGTGGACTCGAACATTGAACCTCTCCTTTTCCGCTAATTTCTTCCCATTTTTCAGCTTTTCAGCTTTTTTCTTTGTTTTTTCTGCTCGTCTATTTTTTCTTTGGGACTATGTAGGATCCAGGCTGATGAACTCAATCACGGTACCTGATCTACGGATGCTGAAGTAGCTGCAACTTAGTTCCAGTGTTGTAGTTAGCGTGTTGTCGTTTGAAACTTGGGACTTTTCGARTTGACGGGATTATGGACGCGATAGACCTGGCTGTTTTGACGACTGAAAGCTGAGGATATAAGCAGTTAATGCTAGTGTTTTAGTCATCTTGCGCTAGGTAGTTTCACGACCCCTGAAGACGCCGGGCAGGCGACCGGCAGAAACACAGTGTCGGGTCTTTCGCCTGACATACGTTTGCGCTTCATGTTCCTATCTTTAAACGCAGTTACCTGCGCTCGTTACTCTCTCTCCATGTGTGGTGTGCTCTGTATAATGCTTTGTGTGGTGTGCTTGGTATGCTACTCAAATGTGATAGAACACTCAGGTGTTTGTCCACTATGACTGATGCTTGCAACGGAACTATTATGTTCTTTTTTGCAGCTTCTCTAGTTACATTGAATATCTTGAGATTCTCTTTGTCGTAAAAAAAGGTGTAAGCCAATGAAAGCTAATAGAGAAAGATTGGCACATTGGCTTCTTCAACGGATTACTGCTGCTTTTTTAATTCCAACTATACTTTTAGCACATGTTTCCACTTTTATCTTGTTAAATATCCTACTTTTTTGGCATATGCATGTAGGAATAGAGGACATTCTAGCAGACTATATTCACCATGAAGTAACACGTAGGTTTTTTTTTTTTTTTTTTTTTAATAATCATCAAATATGTATTTGTTTTGTTTGTTTTGGTGTCATCTTATATCCATTAATGAATCAAATCAATGTGGAAAAGAAGTCGTCCATCTGCCTTCTGTTCTGTGTGAATGACATTCACGCTTGTTTGTAGGCAAGCCCACTGGTTAAGTACTGCTTTCTCTGATGGAGACTCTAATCATTATTAGTATGTGCAAAGTGCATCCCCGGACTGCTAATTCGGGGCTTTTCTTCTGTCAACGTTTTTTTTTTTTCCGCACGCCTAGTAAAAGTTCATCTGTGAAAATTTCGTTTCTAGCCACATCGTGATAATTGGCACAGGGCCTAAGTAAAGACTATGCATCTTGCATACATCAATACCAACATCGCCATCAACACCATCCGCAACACGCTTTTGTTCACAGTCAACCATCATCCCTTAAGAGAAGGCCATACACACACTCACACACACACACACACACAAACGAATAGAACACAGGGTCCTTAAGGCAGTTTCTAGACTAGAAGCTGCTCGAAGCCTCGAAATACATTAAAAAAAAAAAAAGACTAGACTCAGACATTCTCTCCTTTTTTTTTTTTTTTTTTTTTTTAAAGAACACTAGCGACCGGGGGTGGGGGGGGGGGTTGCGACCCCCTCTTGGTTTCGCCAGTCGGACCCAGGCCGGTCTCTTATACACATCTAGATGTGTATAAGAGACAGGCCCAGTCCTATCCGGCAAAACCAAGGGGGATAGTCAATAAGGACCCTCAACCCCTCAGTCCCTGCTCATCGCGCTCCTTTGCTTCATTGCCTCGTGATGACCTCGAACCCCAAACCTGTCGCTTGAACGTCCAGTACCGTAACCAATAGGGCTAAGCCCAAGTCTGATTTAGGTAGGCGCGAACCTGCATATGTATATTCACGGGACCGTAATTGGTCCTATCCGCGCAAACGAGGCCTTGGCCTCGGCCTACCGGCCAACCCCCTGGCCATCTGGCACACCATTTGCCTCGTTGAAGCCCCTGGCTTCCCTCATGCTAAGCCTGAGAAGGTCGTGCCTTTTAACACGTCGTCAAACACAATTTTCCTGCCCATGTGCAAAGTAAGGTTTTTATTTCCCTCATGATAAGCCCCCGCCAGAGGCCGGGCTGGTTTTCGGAGTAAGGCTCGCTTCTATAAATAAAAGAAAAATATAACCAAATTGAAAAGTACAGAAAAGGTACTCGGACCCTATGGCATTGATGTCTTCCGCCGCCCTGATACTGTCGAGGACTAACGGTCACTTCCCAGTGCAATGCATTAACGCGCGTCTCACACACTCTCTTATTCGGTCGAATTCCATTCGGAGTCTCACCAAGAGCGAGGTTGCCGAGGTGAGAGTCCTGACGGGATTTGCCTCATCAACGTGCTACGTTGATCAAGGACGCACCTTGTGCGACCTGTAAAAATAACGGCAAATACCCTTGTAAGGGTGTTTGTTACGACAACGCGAGGTCACAAAATTGTCTATAATTGTACTTACCGGATTTCGCCTGCAGGTTCAGACCTGATAGATGACGCTGTCCCTTCCAAACTCAGATTTCTCTAAGTTGAGGTGCAGTTGTGCCTCCTTGAGGACCTGCAAAACTTCCTCAAGGTGCTTGGCGTGCTCTTCCATGGACTTGCTGAAAATCAGGATGTCATCGAGGTAAACAACAACAAACCTGTTGAGCTGATGGCGAAGAACCTTGTCCATGAGGCACTGAAATGTGGCTGGTGCATTCGTAAGACCGAAGGGCATAACGATGAATTCGTACAACCCATCGCGTGTCTTGAATGCAGTTTTGTGCTGGTCGCTCGGATCAACTTCAATCTGGTGGTAGCCAGTTTTGAGGTCGAGCTTGGAGAAGACCTTGCACCCACCTGCCGCATCTAGCAAATCATCTATGCGAGGCAAAGGATAAACATTCTTTCTGGTGATCCGATTCAGGCCACGATAGTCAATACACATCCGGAGTTTGCCTCCTTTCTTCGGTATAAACAAGACAAGTGCCCGAACTCAGACTCACTAGGCCTAATCCATCCACGATCGATCATGTCATCATTTTGTCTCCTCAATTCCTCCAACTCGCTTTGTCCCATACGGTAGACGTAACCCTTTGGAGGAACACTCCCTTCTATTATCTCAATCTTGTGTTTGACCGGACGCTCGAGAACTCCACGAGGTTCGGTCAGAACTTCAGGGAATCGATCTAATAGACGGCGAATGTTGTTGGGACTTCCGGTGGAGGATCATCCTCATCAGGAGAAAGAAAATCAGATCGAGAATTTACAGCAATTACAACTGGATTCGAAGTACTTGGGTCAGAAGTATAGTGATTATTCACAGTAGAAGTAGATGGAATAGAAGTAGAGGTGGTAGAAGTTGATTTACTTTCCGAGGTAGAAAATGCAGTAAAAGTAGAAGGCACATGGAGAGGCTTTACAAGAGCTACATGTACATGCGCAGCTTCCTTGCGCCTGCGCATTGATTTGCAAAATTTGTTCGCACTCAAAAGAGTCACAAGGGACTCGCACATCTCGTCCAATAGAACGGTACGCTCGTTCCCCTTGGCATCACGCACCACGAACTGATTATCCGCCCACGTGGTCCTTAGGCAATGAGCCTTTAACCAGCCCAAACCAATGACCGCGTCGAACGGACACTTGTCCATGACATAAAAGTTCAGCTCATGTGTGACGGTGCGATCCTTGTCAAAAGTCACGCGCACACCTTTGACAACATGTGTTGAGGTGACAACCTCTTGGTTGCCCACCTGGATCTGACAAGGGTCATGCAACTCCACTTGCTTCATTCCCAGGCCCGCCTTACGAATCCCGTTAGGAGAAAAGAAATTAGTCGTTGAGCCACTATCAATCAACACACGGATGTATCGGCGGTCAATGAGTAACTTAAAGAAGGTTAGCTCCACACTCCCTTGAACACGGCGTTGCTGCTTGAGCTGCAGCCAATGTTCCAGGTGTGAGTGGAAGTCAACTTCTTAGTCTCCTCCCAAGGCTCAGTGTAAAGTACTTGGACTGCACCAGCCTTGGATTCAACATCAGTTCGGGCTTCAAGAGCAAGCTATTGATCAGATTCAGGCTCCTTGGAAGGGCCTGCAATTGACTGTTCAGCTTCCCTTGCTGTGGAGAGTGTTGATGACTCCTCTATGCCCTTTGCCTGTTTCCCTGCAGACGATAACAATCCTGCACAGCATGCCCAGGCTTCTGACAATGCAAGCACACGCGCAGTTTGGATCTTCTTTCCCATTCCTTTTGACTGATGCGGAGGGCTTCCCAAGGTTTGGTAGAAGCGTCCTCCGGTTTCTCAGGGATCTTCGCATTCTTGGGGAGGTGTGTTATAGTTACCCTACCCGAACCACGGTTAGGCCCCTTGCTTGAAGCAGTCTTTTTGAATGCATTAAATTTTTCTTCTTCATTCACGTCAGACTCAATGGCTGATGTAGAACAGCCCATATCGGAGTCCGTCTCTAGATCGTCATCTAGAGACAGATCATCCGCGTAGGACTGATCTTCAGCCTCCCGATGGTCATGCAAGGCAAGCTGGTTGCTGCTTCCATATTGCTTGCGTTGTGATTTGCCACCTGCAACGGGTGCCTTTGTACGCCGGGCGAGGTCCTTGGCCTCTAGGTTGACTAGATCCCTCTCGCCAAGTGGTATGGTCTTTGAGTCCTAGCAGGGAGAGGTATTCTTTAGGGGCCACTCCCATGACTACATCCATGCAAGACATGTCGGTCATTCCTAGGTTTGGAGTGGTGAACAGACTAGTCAAGTGTTGTTCCAAAGCCTGCATGGAGGTCCTCCACGTTTGGTCCTTGAGGGCCTCAAGCTTCAGCCTTGCCTTGAGCGCAGCGTGCTTATCTTGGTACTGTGTGATGAGAAGGTCCTCAAGAGTGCATACAGGAGTTACTTTCAGCCACTCAGTCAGGTCAATCCTGTCATAACCTGCTGTAACAGCTTGGAGTTCTATGAAACTCCGTACGACGGGCTCAGTATTTGTGCCCATGACCATGCTTCGATCTTCCTGCCGTGTTCGCAGTACCTCGAAGTATGAGCGCATGGCGCTAATCCAAGAGGTGATGTCCCCTTTCCCATCGTACTTGGACGGCAGAGTGGCCGCCCACTTGTCCACTACGGGACCGCTGTACTGTACGCCAGTAAGAACTGTGGCGTTTTGGGCTGATGTTCCTGCATTTGGGACTATGACCAGTGCAAAACTGTCGGCGCTGCCGCTTGAGGAGCTGGCACCGGTTCCTGCGCTCGTCACAGTTCCACTTGCTCTTGTCATGAGGACTGTGTTAGGTTGAGAGACTGGGACTGCAGCAGGTCGAAGGTTAGGAGGACGAGGGGCAGACAGTTGGGACTGTTTGAGGCTGAGTATCTCAGCCTGCAGCTCTTGGTTCCGCTGCTTCAGTGCTGTCACGCAGGACTCAAGGTCTTCCAAGGTCCGCAGTCGAACCAAGGCTGCTACGGCAGCAGCTATCCTCTCTCGGAACCGGTCATCATTCGATTTCGGAACCGTAAGGAGGGCCACCTGTTCAGCAATGCTTGTGGCTCTGGCTGCTGCCTCTGCCTCCCTTTCCCTCTGTACGGCTTTGTCATAAAGTTTTTGAAAGAACGGTTTCTCGTTCTCGTCCGCTGCGTCCAACATGGCCTGCCATTGGGCAGATGAGATGTCTGCCATGTTGGAGGAAGGGGTGTTAGTAGATCTCTCAAGAGGGGTCCGCTCTCTCCTCACATTTGGACGAACACTCCTCTTGCCCTTCCTCACGTTACCAAAAAGAACACCTTCTCTCTCCCTTCTCTCTCTTTCCGCTTCCTGCGCACGCGTCTCAATACCGGACATAGATAGTTCAGATAAAAGAAACAAACAGTAAATCACAGAGAGTAGAAGGTAGAACTCCTAGCTGAAGTGGCAGTTCATTTGGACTTAGAGAATGGCACGCAGCAGGAAAAAAAAAAAAAAAATGGAAGAGAGAACTGACTTATCGAACGGGCCCGATCAGATTAGCTGGAGATCCCCTCTTGTCTAACCTGACAAGGTACATGTACCACAATAAATCAGCCGAAGAAAACTAACTGCAGCAATGGAGATTTCGAGGGGTGCAGACGGTCGCCGAGCCAGACGTGGGGCAGTATGTGATAACATGCAGTAAGACCAGTCAAGATCCCCTTGAAAGGAATGCCCTTGCTAGCCGTATGTCCCCCAAGTTCAGCACAGCAAAGAGAAGCATTGGCGGCAACAGATTTGGGCCCAAAAGGTCCTGTCCCGTTGGGCCTGGTCCCACTGAGTCCCGAAGGTCCCAAGTAGGTCGTGGACCAGGACCAATGAGATAGGTGTACCAAGTTAGTCCCAAACTGCCTCTACCGTACTGAAAAGGAAAAGACAACTTTCAGCAAGAACTTACCCCTACAGCCATTCAGAAATGAAAAGACATTGCACCGTAGAAAGATATGTCATTTAGAACAGGTACATCATCCATCCATCCATCAGGTGAGAAAGCAATCCACATGCTCACACACACAGCCAAGACCGCAGAGAAGAGGAAGAGAGCCCAGCAAACCCCAACAGGCCATGAAGCACCAAGCAACCTCCCACGACCTAACCAGGTCACACGGCACTTACCTATGAGGCCCGACCTCCAAAGATGGATAACGACTCACCCCCCTCTCTCATCAGTCCTCCTGACCCCTAGCTACCACTACACGAAGTGTCCTAGCATGACTAAGAGGGCTACACCCTTGTTGCAACGTCGGATCCCCCGCCGATGTCTGAAGACCAAAGTAGCAACTTGCAGCTCTCCGATGCAGATATGGCAGCCTCCAATCAAGTCTCCCTCTTGAGGGGAAGCCCAAAAGTCACTCAATGTCTTCTTGAAGTGCAGATTCCAGGTGCGAGTACCTCTCACTCTCTACTCCCTCTCGCGTACTCCAATCAGCCTCCTTTGTGTCTCACCACCCCATCCAATCACTCAAGCAACCTGGTCAGGTCTGATGTCAACCCTACATGACCTAACCAGGTGGGGGCAGTATCCACATACCTCACTGCCCCACTTAACCCTAACTTCCTAACCCTAATCCGAGATTAGGTTAGCCCTAACCTAACCCGAAATTAGGTTTAGGGTGACTAACACCTCTCGCCAGCAAGTAAGTCCGCTCCGATACCAATTGTTACAATCCTGGTCATTTCCAAAGTGCAACTTCACAATGAAAGACAATGCCACCCAATTGCGACGGAAATGAAAGCATTTGCAAAGAGATAGAGACCAGAGGAGAGAGGAAGAAGAAGAAGAAATTAAGGGTACAACGAACAGCAAAAAACTGTCACACGGAGGACAAAAAAATACTTTTGCCAAACACCGTAAAAACATACGCAATCCCTCGACGCGTTTCGGCTCGTGCGTAACCAAGCCTCTTCAGGAGGACACACCACCCTCACCACGATGGAGATACATAATTATCCCATCAACGTTATAGCTCATGTCAAGGTATCCCACCGCACTTCTCCCTGTCCATCCACCTTCTATCCTCGTATCCTGCTTCCTTCAGCTCGTACTGTCCTCGTTCAAAGGGACCAAGCATATCATCATCCACATTCATATCCTCACACAGCCACGCTACTTGGTGAGAAGAACCACACTCGTCGATCGTACTGCGAACAGCCGTGAAAACGTAAGGAAAAACGACATATTATCACGCATACATATACGCGCGTATGGATGTAGCACCAGATCCCCGTACAGCTCGCTGATGCTCATGTGACTTAAAACTTCGCAGAGCGTACGCGACGTCCTTGCTGAAAAATGTCCAGCGCCCAAAAAACGACAAGGTGGACCGTTGGTCCCGACAGACAGACTACTCGTGCCCAAAAGTGCCTAGTCCCTGCTCCGTACAGATCGTCAGAGGTGCCCAAAAAAAAATAAGATTTTTTAAAATTTTAATTAAATAAAAAAGAGGTCGGGAGTTCCAAAATTCCTGCTTTTTTTCTGAAACCGTATTCCTCCAGGGACTTACAAGCCTCGCAGGTGGGATAAGTAGTGCCCAAACAAACTACGGTAGTTAAAAACGAGAAATCAAAAAAATCCTCTATTTCAAAAACGGAGCTCCGAGCACCAAAGTCCCTAGGCAGAGGGCGGGGGGTACGACACGAATGCTGGGGGTAGTAGGAGGAGGTTAGCTTTATCATTTAAGCGATCCTTGGTGGGGGTAAACCTGTGAGATCAAAGACCTCCAGGGACCACCCACCATCTTGGCAAAACGTGCCAAGGAACCGAAGAAGAAGAAGAAGAAGAAGAAGAAGAAGAAGAAGAAGAAGAAGAAGAAGAAGAAGATGTGCACCAGCAAGACCAATGACGATTCCCCCTTCTCTCTCCACCTTCCTCCTCCTCCTTCACTTCGCCAATCTTATTCTTCTCCCAATAATAATAATAACAATGAATGGATGAACCAGAATCAATATCCGAAGTTCCCTCTTACTGCTGACTCAACAACAACAACAACAACAAGTCCACCATAGCTATGGCTTCCCTCCTTCTGCCTCCTCTCTCATGCATAGGCTATGACGGACTACTGAGGGCCCTGCCCTCCTGTCCAAAGGACAACCCAAAGCAGCTATGGCGCTGCACTTCTGTCCAAAGGACAACCCAAAGATGCTGCTGACTGGTCCGCCATGCCTGACTCTGCCTCGAGCTTCCTTGGTGCGGCACTACCCCAACTGGGGCCTTCCAGATGCAGCGCCCAACAAGGTGATGAAGACGGTGTCCACCATAGCCAGGTAGGTGTCTCGCCACTCTCCTCCTTAGCCCCCTTCTTCCTCCTCCTCAAGCTTGGCTGCTCGCCATAGCCAGGCTGAGCGCCAGCTGCCCTTCACCTCCAAGCAGCACTGTATCAGCCAGTGCTGCGCTCCAGCAGCATGTCGCCAATCCTTGCATACTGCAAATGAGGAGCTACTTGCTCCTCCGAAAGATATAGCGGCCTACTGGCCCCCTGAGCGGTGACTTCCTAGGCCGAGCGGCCTCCCAGCAACCGGTACCTCCTCCCTTTCGGAGGGAAACATCATTGCAGGCTCTGCGAACCTCCGGACAGGCCCTAGACCCGGGCTACTCGGACTGGTACCGGCCTACCTCTATCCTACCGCTACTGGGCCTCTAAAAATGCCAACTTTTTGTCTTCTTCTGCTCGGCCTCCAGTACCCGACACTCCTACCACTACTCGAGTGGTACCGGCCTACCTGCTACTTGAGTGTTTTTCCCCGCTGCTCTAAGTGCCGTGGGCCTACCCCCGCTACTTGAGTGTTTACCCCCCTGCAACCCTCAAAGTCACGGCCACAGGTAAGTACCGGCCCTGCGGGGCCTTGCAACCA